TCAACATCGTTTGAACTCAGCAGCACCTCATATGATTCACTGAAATATATACCATGCAGCAAGCCAACTTTGAGTCGATTTAAATTAAAATCAACGCAAATAACAAGCATCTTCGAAAGTTTTTGACTCAACAGAAACAAGGTGATCCTTCATCTTAACGCTCCATGTAAAGGAAGAACAAGTTAACAAATTTTTTATTTATCTTTCTTTTTCCCATTTTTTTACCTTTTCTAAATTTTTTTTTCCTCAAATATTTTGTAATCTTCGTCTCTTTCTTTTTCCTTATTGGATTTATATAGCAAACTATCTACCTTGTAATAGTAGCTGGTATCAGGAATGACACAGCTGGCATCAGAATAATGAAGTCGAGCTTATCCTGAGCCACACCATTCTCACGCTGAAATTGTACGTGGCAGTCCAAAAAGCAGCGCAATAAACAATGCAAAAAGCAGCGAGAGATTAAAAATAAGGCAGCAAAAACATACATCCACGAAGAACGTCAAATTGCCTCTTAGTTTTTGCGCAACACTGATTGCTTTAACAGAAAATCTGAAGACATGTTCAGCTGCAACTCCAGCTGGTAGTTCGAATGAGAGCGGAATGCCTGCCTGAAATTCAAGAAGAATAATTAAAATCTACTACCCGAAAGATAGTTTGTCGTTTTATGAAAAATCCCATCGTCCCTGTGAAACTGAAATAGTCCTTGTTTTGCTGCTGGTCAGAAATGAACAAACGAATAAATTATCCGGAAACTGGCAGTTTTAGCTTACGTCCTGCGATAGTCTTAGCGGAAGAAGCAAACAAACTTTGTATCGACAATGCTCCAATCATACCTTCGCTATATCTGTGAACCTGTTAGAAGCGTATTCGAAACTTTCTTAAGTGGCACAAATTTGCAAACAGCAACTACTTACTGGCAAGCTCCATATTTTACTGAACCGCTTAAAAATTTTTCAAACTGATGTATATTTCCGCTCCCCAAATATACTACTACAGCTTTAGCACTGAATTTGCATCACGAGACATCAACAA